TGGTTAAATGAAGATATAACCAACTATTTTTAGATATAGTATATTAACATACCCGAAAGTTTTTCATCTTGTGTATTTGACCACGAAAAAAAATTTAACTGAGATAAATAACTAATTAACTTCATTTTTAACCCTTATATCCGCTAATATGCACTGTCCTTAGAAATTCAATACCATGGACCTAGCCAACACCATTTTTGGATCAACTTTCCTGGATTTAATTTTCAAGACCCTAGTCAACCAAACGTGCCTTGTGGGTCTGTTTAGCTTGGCTTTAAATCTGGGCACAAAAACTAATAGAGGGTTAATTAATTGTTTTATGTGATAGCCAAGTTATATTACTTTAAATTTGCCGCTTGCTCGGGAAGAAAATCTTCCCATATTTTTTGCCCGGAAATGGTTTCCGGGGAATATAGCTGGTTACAACTTTTTTTTTTTTTTTTTCTGTTTTTGGTTTGGATCACCCAATATCCAGAAATTCATTGGGTCATGACTAATTCAGATTCGAATCAGGTAGGACTCAACGGACGGCAAAACTCTTTTTCAAAATTTTAACAAAATTACATTCTCAGGATTTAAAACTAAGACATCTAGTTAAATTGAAAGACTCTTTTGCCAACTTATTCACTCGTTCGTGGGTGCTAGTTACAACTTGTAATAACATGTTATCACGTTAAATTTTTTTTTTTTTTATATTCTAGCATTTTGTGCCCAGGTTCTATGCCAACTCAGGTTAAATATTTCCTGAGAATGTTTGAATCCAAACAGACCCTCTAATTTGATTAAGGATTTATCTAAATTGTATCTTTTTAAAGTATAATTAATATATTTTTTAATATTAATTCATATAAAAAAATTGATATTAATTTTATCGTTAATACTAAATATATTGTTTTAATTAGACAATTAATTAAATAAATGTTAAATTTTATTTTGTCAATAACAATTAATATTCAAAAAATATTCTTAACATGTACTCTTAAAACACAAATTAAAAGAACCTTTTGATTAAATACAAGTTTTGTTAAAGTTTTCTTAAGACTATTAAAGGTTAATTTTAACTTCTAGAATAAGTTAAAAAGCTAAACCTGTAAATTTTAAATTTATAGGCAAAAAGTTCTAAATTTATAATTTTATTTGGTTTAATTATTATGAATAATTGATAATTATAACTGTAGTTAATAATTAATAAAACATTGAATATTAATTAAAATTAACTTGACAACTGATTTTTCAAACATTTTAATTGTTTAAGGAGAAAAAACTATAAGCTACTTTTAAGTTCTACTAATCTTATTTGATTAACATTTTTGAAAATATATAATATGATTTCATGGTTATGTAAGATTCATTGTCATTTGAGAGTGCATGAAAAAGTCCCATTAAGAGGTACATATGTGATATGACTCGGAATTACAAATATGCATGAAAATGGCAGGGCTATACCTATTTTGAGATTAATAGACCTGCAATAATATGACCTTGGCATTCCAGATTTGATTTCATGTGATATATAATTTTTTCTAACGTTTCTTAATATTCGAGATAAATAATTCTCTCCTATTACCAATAAGTCATAAAAATTTGCTCTCAAAAGAGCCTCACAAAAATCACACAGAGTAATGTTATTAATGGTGAAAATGTAACGTTTGGGCTCTGGCACCTAATTCCGTCCCAATTCAGGTCACACTTAAGGAGAAATTTTTTTATACAATGGAATACTATGTTAACAGTTCATCTATTACCAATTACCTGTTACCAAGCTCAATTTTTTTTAAATAAAGTCTCGAATTTGAGTTTTATAAACGGAGAAACAAGCGTTGGAAGAGATTTCCTTTGATAGGATCTGACGTGATTCGATTCAAAATTATTCGGACTTAATGTAATTATCGAATATCGAAAGATTAATACAAAAAAAAAGTCCATCTATTAATGTAGTAATATGTCAATATATGTATTTTTGCTTGTAATTTGATAATTAGTGAATAATTAATCTTTTTAATTACAAATGAAGGTCACACATGCTAACATGGGACTAAATTAATAGACGAAGATATTGTTGATATGATATCATATTGTATGGAGAAATTTCTCTTACAACAATTAAACAATTTAAAAAAAAAAAAAAACTTATTTATGTAAAGTACTATGTTAAGCCTCTAAACTTTTTTCATTTTAGCGCATAAGCCCTCAAATTAACCCCTCAATTGTGGCTAATCAGCCCTCAGTCTTAACTGTTGCTTTTACACTTTTTTTTCTTTTCTACATATTTTTAGCAACTGTTTGGTTTGGGGGAAGTAAAGGGAAGAAGAAGAATTTTTTTTTTTTTTTTGGTTCAGTGAAATTAAGAAGAAGAACCTCAACTAAAGAAGCTAGCAGAAAAAAGAAAAGGAAAAGAAAAAGAAAATCGATTTCAAGACAATCAAGCTTATTAGTATTTTTATTACAAAGACATTATAGAAGACACTGATCTCTACTCCCTTTTAATCGGCTTAGTTAACATTAACAGAGAACTATGTCTGAACCTTTGTAGTAAATGTAAGAAAGTCTTCCTTCCAGTTTTGAGTTCAACTGTTGAGCAGTAAATCCATGGTATCGATCTTCAAACGCTGCCGTGCAAACTTCTGTAATTTTTCTCCACATATGATCTTCTCGGAAATATGCTTCGCCCATGAATTCATCAAGACGCATCCACTGTACAAATATATTAATTAATATAACTCAAATTTAATCAAAATTTTTCTCTCCCTCTTTTTCTGACATTGCTCCAAAATGGAAAACATGTGTCTTACTCATTAAGTAGGGGGGTAATTTTATAAAAAAATATATATATATGGTGCAGTTTATAGCGCCCTTTAATTTTATTTTTAGTAGTATAGAAAATATGATATTAAAGCTTAATTGGTTAATTAATCATTTATTTACCTGAGCAGCCTGAATTTCTTTGTCATCGATGGCGATTTCAGAAGACAGTGGCTTCAGCAAGCACACAAAGAGCAAATCTGACTTCTCAAAAGAGACCAGGTGGGCATGCCTATCGAGTTTCACATAAAGAAATACACCGAAACAGTAATTGGTCACTCATATTTTTTAGGATATATTGTTTTATAGTTTTAATTGTAATATTTTTTTTTTAATTTTTAATTACAATCAATCTTGCATAAACTACAAGTCACAGTCCCATGATCTTTTGTAGTCCGCGTAGGACAAGTTCCAAAAAATATTCTATTTTATTTAATATTTAAATTATATAGAGAAAAATGAACTTGCAAACTTAAAAATATTGTGTAATTTAAAATTTAAATTATTTAATAAAAATAAACATATATTTAGAAGTTCTTATTTTACAATATAATATAATTAAAATTGCAAAATAAGAAGTCAGTGATATAATTGCATCTCAACCTAAATAAAAAGGGGGAAAATGTTCTTATTATCCTACTTACCTGAAAGCCACCATTTCCAAGAAAATTGTATCAATCTAGAAAAGAAAGAACGCAAGTCAAAAGCAGCAAAAATAAATAAATAGATAAATGAATAAAATGAGTTTATATAATTTAGAAATGTATTAGAAAGTCGCTACTTACACCAGTTTCTTCTTTAACCTCTCTTACAGCTCCAGAAAAAATGTCTTCAGACTGAGATGAAGAAATTTTGATTAAAAAGAATCAACAATCAAATTGATTTAACTGTAAAATTTGCTAATAACAAGTCACCTTGTCGATATAGCCGGTAGGCAATTTCCACATGTCAGAGCAACTGCAAGGGCATTTTTCTTTTACCACAAGGACCTAAAGTGTCATAAAATGATAAAAACAAATTTTAATTGGTATTTCTATAAAATAAATTGGTTTTTCAACCTAAAAAGTCTAATTTAATTATAGATAATAATTGGTAAAGTCTTTATTTCAACATATTTTACCAAATACTAATTAAAAAATTATTAATTTTAAATTTAAATTAAAAACCAAAAAGCTTAAACTACATATTTTAATAATTAAACTAATAAGTATTGACAAATATGTTAAACTAAATAATATCACTCATTTTTTTAATTAATTAATTAATTGATAATAACCTCTCTCTTGTCATTGATGACAAATGCTGCTACACCAATTTGATGAGAAGGACTAGCAGGAAGCAGGCAAGGTTCACTGGGAATCCAATAGGTCAGCATGACATATTTTGGTTCGGCGTGGTGGTACTTAAAACCCTCCTGAAATCTCAAGAAATAGTGGGGTTATGTCGCTATTACAAAAATGAACGTGCATACTTTCGTAATAGCCTTGTGTTGTTTCAACGCAAGAGTTAATGTGTGTGATACATCCCCCGTTGAAAATAAATGTTGGACCAACCTACACTTAGGTGTGGGCCGTGGAGCAGCAATTACAGTTGTGAGGAAATAGCCCTATTCTATGAAGTCTGACTTTTTAGGGAAAGTTTTGAATTAATTTACCTGAATTGCAATTGGAACAAGATCTGCTTGTTCTGCTGGTATCTCCAACCAAATCCCCTTCTTCCCCTGCAATTTTTCAATCTGGTTTCATGTCATATATAATCTAGTTTACGCCTTTTTATAAATTAAGACTCTAATGTATGTACCAAATACCTTCATCTTCCAGTTGGACAGGGAGGCACAAAGGGCAGAAGCAAAGGCATTCGCACTCGAAGGCAGGCCCTCTGGATCAATGATGACCCCATTGTATTCATCATCCCGTGCATTGAGCAATTCCACAGTGAACCCTGGAGAAGCTATATGAGGAGAGATGACATGGATTTCTTTCTTCTTTAGAAATGGCAAGGGCATGGAACCGAATTTAATTGATGAACATAAAAAGTAGAATGGCTTCCTAAAAAATCTGGGATTAGGCTCCGGGAGAATCTCATTTCTCAATGAAATTCTTGGCATTCCTAGAAATTTTTGGCAATAAATTGCTGCCATTGCTGCTACTGTTAACAAACCATATCGAATGGACTGAACTTGCATGGGTATATATAAAAGTAATTCAATTGAATGTGTCTTAAGATCAAAACAGGAAAACAAAAGGTAAATTGTACTTGGAATATTATGGAGAATAGAATTTTTAGCACAAGTAGCAGGAAAAAGATAGATATAGCATTTGCACATATTCAGAAACGATTCCATGATCTCAGCCATACTTCCATTTTCCCAGCATCCAAACAAATTGACAATTTGACAGCAGAGAATAAGAGGGCAACTTCCAGAGTATTACCCTATTCCATTCTGTGAAAAGGGCAGGAGCATATTCTACTAACATTCCAGCACATAATGATCTTCCTCTGCTCCATGTTTGTAGGCTACAAATTTTAGCTTTTAATCCATTCATAAACTTGTGGTTTTAGACAAAGAATATTTGAACATTAATTTGCGGTTGTTTTAGTATTCCATATTCCCTTCTCCTTGAAGCTTTCATAGAAATGTATTTGCTTGGACTGGGTTTGGCCATTCAAAAGACAATATTGGTCCTCAAACTTTCAAACATTCCTAACTTTTTCTGCCGTATGCTTATCTGAATCATTTCCGGATGCCTGGAAGGGAATGAGCAGATTTAGGGGTGAGAGTGCGCAAGGAGATTCACATTGGAATAGGATTGTAAACACTTGCTTCAAATCCTTGTAAAACAATACGCTGGCTTTACTGCCATATGGAGTTCATCTTATATCAAATTTACAAATACAGTGAATTGACATTAATGGATGACTTTTTCCAACTATAAAGCATGAAATTCAACAATAAACCCGGAGAAGAACGTGAGAATGAAATCCATACTTCCTCGACAGTATTTCTATTTTACATCATAACAAAACTCTATCATCACTTGCCCATTGATTTGCTCGGCAAGTCCCTTCGCAAGTTGGCACCATAGTGTGTAATAAGTATGTTTGAAACTTGGGATCTAAGTTTTGGAGTAAGGAATTGGCTCCATGAGAAAGGGGTTTTGCTCATGAGGCGGGTGAACAAGATAGTTCACATTTTTGGGGAAAGGGTTGGCACCAAGAATGAGGAGTCAACCCCTAAGCTTCAAATTAGGAGAGACAAAAGTTATTGCATCAGAAGTGTTAATCCCATGTTTTAGGGGTCAATAATCAACACCAAGCTTTGTGTGAGACAATGGAACACAAGCACAAAGGTCGACCTCAGCCTTATATGGTGGTTTGAGCGCATTGATTGGGAATGGGTTGAGCTTTGACTCGTGTTGACCAAATTTGACCTCGCTACTTGCTGGTTTATTTTGGGTTTTATTTTTTTTTTTCCAAACACCTTATAAATACATAGTGATTTGTAATTATGGATTGTGAGAAAGTTGAGCTGATTGAGCTTGTTTGAGTGAAAGCAAAGTGCCACTTTGAATATCTAGAGTGAGGGTTTTATAGAACGATTAAAAACTATAAATGATTGGTTATACTAAATTTTGATTCAAAATTTGTATATTGTTATTATTTTAATAATAAATAATTTTTTGAGTTGGGCCAATACCCTATGATTTTTTTCGATTAGGTATTTTAAAGTAAAAATCAGTGCATCTCTCTCTTTAATTATTGCTTTTTATAATTCAATTTCCATGTACTATATTGAAATTTCACTTGAGTGAAAATTTGATCTTGGGCATTAAGGTGATTGATTGCTTGGCTATCACTTTTTGCGTGGTATCTCATCTTCATAAGTAGTATATAGTCTTTCAATATAGGATGGACTGAACTTCAGCAAGTATATAGTCTTTCAAATGTATGTCTTTTTTGGGCTAAATATTCAAATGTATGTCTTTTTTGGGCTAAATATTCAAATGTATGCGTCTAAAGCCCAAAACATGAAGAGAAAAGGTAAATAATTAATATTCCGAATGTTATCCAGACACAAGTAGCAAGAAAAAGGAAGATAGCGTTTGTAAGTATTTAGAAATTTTAGATACACTACAATTACTGTTGGAGATCTCAAGTTGAGCTTGAACTTCCTATTAGAAATCTTAAATATAAATTTTAAGATGAGTAAAGAGGTGTTTTGGAAAGAGATCCCTTATTATATAGTTGATTATCATATGTATAAACAATTATTGCATTATGTGTCTTTGCTGTACTCCCATTTAACCTCATCCAAACAGACTGATAATTTGACAGCACTGAATAAGAGTGCAACTTCCAGTATTCTCATGTTCCTTTCTTTGAGCACATTCTCCTAAAAATCCAGCACATAATGGACCTCCCCTGCCCCATGCTTGTAGCCTTGAATCCATCATAAACTTGTAGTTTTTGGTGAAGAGTATTTTAACACTCGTGGTTGCTTTAGTATGCTCCATTCCCTTTCTCCTTGAAGCTTTCAAGGAGACACATTTGCTAGACTACTCAGGCCACTCAAAAACATTTATCCTAAACTGTTAAACACTTTTTTTCCTGTTCTTTGTTTCTTGATTGCTAGATCTTTGAAGGAAATGAACTTAATAAAGAAAAGTAATGCATACTCTTGAAAAAATGTAAGAAATACGTATTTCTTATTCATCTCTTAGTTTAATAAAAAATTATCAAGATTAAAGCTTAAAAATTCCTAACTTGATTGATCATCAGTACTCATGTCTAGATAGGCCAAACCCTCAATGCCATAGGTGGTGTACTCCTTAGCAATTACCTTGCAATCATTTTTCCAAAATTCACTCCAACAAATTTCTGATTATGTATCCTAGTATTTTTCTTAGCCTTGATTTCATATGAACTCTTTTGACTAGTTATTGATTTGGGATTGTGAATGCATTTATTATGTTTGCAAAATTAAAATTTTTACATTTAACAAAAAAAATGTGCACCGACTACTTATATCTCGTCAGCCAATAGTTCCTTGTACTAATGTTCCTCACCATGTCATTGAAGTTAACCATATCTTCATTTCCCCTTCTTGTGAATCAATTTTTTTTTTTCTTTCACCCATCTATAGCTCTTTTGAAGCACGGAAAAGGAAAGGAAAGGCTAAAATCAACATTCAGACCTTTTTTTTTACTCTCAAGTCAACTTTCCTCTTTATTGAGAGGACACCACCTCAATCCCCAAATTATCGTAAAAATGGAATTACCCCTTTTTTTTTTTACTTGTGTAAACATTTTGTAAAGACCAAATTACCACCGAATGAACAAAAAATTATAGAGACGTTGAAGATCAAATTACCCCAAATCAACAACAAAATCACAAAAACACTGTTAGAGTTTCTTCCATATTGCTTGATGGGTAAAATGGTAAACAAAATGAGTCAAATGAAGTGAGAGAAAGCAAGAAGAAAGGAGTGAGGAGAGAGATAAGAAGGGACTAAGACTAAAGTTTGTGAGAGAAAGGAAGAAGAAGAAAGTGATGAGAGAGATAAAAAGGCTCAAAAACTTAAGTTTTTTATACTTACATTTGAAACTTCAAAAATAGTTGATGGCATACCACTTTGTGAAATCAATCAAGTAATATTTTCCTAAGCAAGGCAGGTAATTCTATTGATAGTTCATACAAATCCCAAAAAGGTTAGAAGTAGGTTTCAAATTAGATATTAGTAAAATTGTTCATATTTGATCCAAACTAAATGATCTTACCAAAATTGACACAATTCAATTAAAATTCAATTTAAATTACCGACAACAATTTGAGTTGGTTTAGATTATAAAATTTTAAAATTGATATAATTGATTATAAACTAAATAGCTAAATTACAAAATAGCTCAATTAAATAAATAATATTTTTACCTTTTAAAAAAAATTTTTTTTTTGGTAAATATATTTTTTTGAATTTTTTGATAAAATGAAAATATAATTAACAAATTGTATGTATATTGTATTTTGAAATTTTTTTTTTCTAGTACTACCTTTTGTATTTCTATTGTATAATAGTCCCTCTCCTCAACTTTAGTAGTACTAATTTTTTTTGTTTAATAAAACAAGAATGTAATAATTAATTAAAAAAATTGATATTTATTCTTAATTAATCACTACTTAAATAAATTTTTATATTTAATATAAGTTGTAATTATTTTTTAAAAAATAAAGGTAAAATATGACTAAACAACATTAAATGACATTCTAGAAAGCAAAAGTGAATTGCTAAATGTAAATACTTTAAATTAAAAATCAAATCTATTAAAATTGAGTGGAGGGAGTATTTTTTTAAATTTTGTACTATAAAATCAATTGTCTTAGCTATCTTTATCTTATTTTATTTTTATTTTATAATTGTATAATATAACTTAATTAACTTAATTTAAAAGTAATGCAAATATAAATTGTCTCTTTTATAAATAAAAGCTTTGCTCTTAAAACTCTATAACCTCTTGTGTGACAATAGCTTAAGTTTACCTGTTTTAGTTGTCTTATTTGTACTATTCTTTTGTTTTTTTTATAATATTAGTGTATGTTATAATTATATTTTCTATTAATTAATATTTAAATTTTTTACCTAATTATAATTTTTAAATAATATTAAAAATCAATCATTTTGATAAAATCACACAAATCTAATCTAAATTAATCTGATTTAGTTATAGTATAATAATAAATTAAATTACTTTAAAATATTAAACTCCAAACCAATCTATACATTGTAAATACCTTAACTACAGTGTAGGTCAACCCAACACACCATACCATCGATAAACAAAGCCAAAGGGTCGAACTTTTCTTTGGATAAAAAATGGTGAACTCACCAAAATTGAGGGACCAAAAAACGGGTTCAACACTTTAACCGCTAAGAAGCAGGGATCACTTCCTCTTCCCCACAATTTGGCCCATCAGCTCCGCTTAAAAGTTAAAACCTTTTTCCCGCAAACCTTGGTCTGCAGACTAACAAATTTACAGAGCTTTGACCAAGTGAGGGTGTCACGGTGACCGCCGACCGCCATGTATCGGACAGCAGCTTCGCGTCTCCGGGCTCTCAAGGTCAGTGCAACAACTAAACTTTAACTTCTCCAATCGTCAAAAACCCTAATTCTTGAGACTTCATGATTTGATCTCATCATCGTCAGAATATTTACCTGGAAGAAGATAAAGCTGCTCTGATTCGCATCTCCTGTAATCGTTGGTCACTGATTGTTTAATCTGTTATCGCGTTTAGTTTTTAGTTATTAGATCTGCTCATCCTCAACTTGTAATCCTTCAATTAATTTTTCTCTGAATTAGAAAATGGAAATTGTAATCCATCTTTGGTTTCTGAGTGGGATTAGATTGAACCCAACTTAATTCTTTCTGAAATTATGCTACTTATTGAGATTGGGTCTGGTTTCGTTTTGATCTAGCAGAATGTATAATTAGCTTCAGCAATTCATAAGTTTTCAGACGACATAATCAGAATTGGAGATCGTAGTATTAGAATTCCAGTGTCAATGGTAGTTTTTTGTAGTAGAATGACACGTTTAAATGCAGTGAATTTTCTTCTGCTCCCTTTACATATTTTTGCTTTTGTTTGTGGGGACTTGGACGTCTACCAGAATTTTGATAATCTAGACTTGGCATATTTGAGGGGATTTCATGGTGTAGTTAGATTAGTCACCCCTTCTGCTAAGTGATTTGGTTCTGTTTTGATTACATGTTTAATGAAACTTATCTAGTGGATTTTGTCACCAATGGTTTGTCTGCTGGAGGTTAAATGATCTATATACTAAATGGTGAATATAGGATCGTACATCCAGCAGGATACCAGCAAGGTTTGCAAGTTCAACAGCTGTTGCTACAAAATCATCTGGTCTCTTTAGTTGGCTGCTTGGGGATGGGTCCAAGTCTATACCTCCTCTAGATTTTCCCCTTCCAGATGTTGCTCTCCCACCATCACTGCCAGATTATGTTGAGCCTGGTAAAATTAAGATCACTACTCTACCAAATGGTGTCAAAATTGCCTCAGAAACATCATCAGTACGTATTGCTATGTGTGGCCTTTTCTTCTTTAAGCAATTATTTTTCTATTTTATCAAGGAGGCTGCTATTTGATTTATTCTCCCAAACAGAGTCCTGCAGCTTCAATAGGGTTATATGTTAATTGTGGGTCAATCTATGAGTCACCAATCTCATTTGGGACCACACATCTACTTGAGCGTATGGCTTTCAAAAGCACAGTAAACCGTAGCCAGTTGCGGGTAGTGAGGGAAGTGGAGGCAATTGGTGGCAATGTGCAAGCCTCAGCTTCTAGGGAGCAGATGGTTTACACCTTTGATGCTCTTAAGACTTATGCTCCTCAAATGGTAGAACTACTTATTGACTGTGTGAGAAACCCTGCTTTCTTGGACTGGGAGGTCAATGAACAGGTAAAGTCCATTATAATCTTTATGTGCCCATGCTAATTAATTGCTTGAAATTTTAGATCAAATGTCCTTGTAGATATGACATCTTTGATTTTATCTTCTGCAGCTTAAGAAGGTGAAAGCTGAAATAGCTGAAGCTTCCAACAATCCTCACAGCTTGCTTTTGGAGGCAATTCACTCTGCTGGTTATTCGGGGGCCTTAGCAAATCCTCTTCTAGCTACAGAATCTGCCATAAATGGATTGAATGGTACAATTATCAAGGAATTTGTTGCTGTAAGTCTAAGAAAACCTGATATTTCAGTATTCTATATACGCCAATGCTGGTCATATCTTTTTCTTAAAATGTTTTGCCTAGATTTATCTATCTTCACTTGGTTTCCTGTCAAAATTTTAGGAAAATTATACTGCCCCTCGGCTGGTACTGGCAGCATCTGGGGTTGACCATGAGGAATTGTTATCAGTTGCGGAACCACTTCTGTCAGATCTTCCTAAAATTCCTCAACCTGTGGAGCCACAGTCTGTGTATGTTGGAGGTGATTATCGCTGTCAAGCTGATTCAGGGGTATGTATATTATAATTTGACAGAGTTGTTACTTTTGTCTTTATTTTTCATTTAAAGCTGACAATTATTTTGTAGGATACAACTCATTTTGCTATTGCATTTGAACTTCCTGGTGGTTGGCACAAGGAGAAGGAAGCTATGGCTTTGACTGTCCTCCAGGTGCAGTCTCGCCTTTCTTTATCAAATCAATATGCCTGTTTCCCCACCCAACCACCCCAATTTCCTGATTTTCTTCAATGAACATCTGGTTAATAGTGTTATATTGTGGGTTTCAAGATGTTATGTCATTGCTTTGTAATTCATGTTTCTTTTGTACGGCCATTTCAAGAAAGAAAGCAATAATAAATCTTATCATACTGTAGATGCTATTGGGGAGAGGTGGATCATTTTCAGCTGGTGGTCCTGGAAAAGGAATGCACACAAGGCTGTGTAAGATCTTAAGCATATTTTATCCATAGATTGTGTATAGTGGGCTATTTTTCAAAAGCAGATGTTAATTTGCTTTATTATTTTATCAATGTGTAAGTCTTCTGAAACAATATCATTTATACTCACTTTTTTTACTTTTTCTGAAGTTGGTGCACAATTTTGTTTTGCTTATTTGCTGAGCAGATCTCTGTGTCTTGAATGAGTATCCCCAAGTTCAGTCATTTTCAGCATTCAGCAACATCTACAATCATAGTGGGATTTTTGGCATTCAGGCTACTACAGTAAGTCATCTCTTAAAATCTTCTGTTGTTTGTGTAGTTTAGGCAAATTAGTTTCTTGACATGAAATCTTGTACCCAACTGTTTCTTTATGGCAATTGTACTTAACAGAATTTTTGTAGTAAGCTTTCTTGAAGGTATCTAACAATCATATCTTTTGTGGGTTTACATTTTATTGATTCCTTTCACTAATGCTTGATAATAGCCATATAAATTTGTGATCCATGTCTCATGTTTATAATCTATGTTTTGTGTGGACCTTTCTGCTGAAAGCATTGTAGTCTTGGCAAGCATATTGATGATGTTTATCTTTATGGACTCAGAGTCCAGATTTTATACCAACGGCTTTTGATGTAGCAGCCAAGGAGCTTATTGCCGTTGCAAAACCAGGAGAAGGTTAGCTGCTTCTAAAGAAGGTTCTCATTAACATGTTGCTTTTTACCCTGTAGCTTTTTGCTTAGATAAATGCCCTTCATTCTCTGCTACCTGCAGTCAACCAGATACAACTAGATCGTGCTAAACAATCAACAAAATCTGCAATCTTGATGAACTTGGAATCCAGAGTATGGAAACAAATTTTCTTTCATTTGTCAATTGTTGATTCATACTAAATTAATCTGGACGGGGATTCATATTCTGTAATAAGTTATTGCTCTCATATGTTTACTTAATACTTATCACATGCATGCTGCAGATGGTTGCCTCAGAGGATATTGGTAGACAAGTTTTGACATATGGGGAAAGGTATGACTTGAGACAATCCTGTTTCTGAGTTGGTTGACTTCGATTCTTCATTGATGATTGGATATGAATTGCTATGTTGGTGGCTTATCGCTGACCTCAATAAATTGCTTGGTGTATGTGTATAAATAAGTAGATTGATGTTTTCTCTCATCCTTAGGAAACCTGTGGAACATTTCTTGAAGGCCGTTGAAGAAGTCACACTGAAAGATATTTCTACAATAGCCCAAAAGCTTCTGTCATCCCCGCTCACAATGGCATCATATGGAAACGGTATTTCCAAGTCTAGAATATATATACTGTTTTTGTTGGCGATAAAACAACATACTGTCTTTCTATGGTTATCGCTTCTCTCATTTTGCTAATATTTTGCAGTTATTAATGTCCCAAGCTACGATTCAGTTAGCAGCAAGTTCAAATTGAAGTAAATGAGATTGCTTTCCTGCATCAAAGTGGGCAGTTGTCTGAACTGTTGTTTGTAATTTTGTGCATCTGCAATTCCTAGGAGCAATTTTACAACAAGATGAAGTTGTTGAAAATGAGGAGTCTAGACGTTGGCTTATTTAACAATAAATAGTTTATCCCATGCAAACAGCATGAGTTGAATTGGTTTGCTGTTGGGATGCACTTCAGGACTATTCTATATTCTTTGTACTCCAATTTTTCCAGTTCCGGATAATAATGATCTTCGCCTAATTTGGTGAACGAAACACAAGCAAAATTAGATAAACCTAACTTCATCAATAGTATCATACCAAAATCTCTCTACTGCAGCATCTTTTCTACTTCTCGAACACATCAAAGTTGATCGGCAGCTACAATTCTGAAGAAGGGGCATGGAAGTGCTTTTAATTATTAGTTTCACCTTCAGAGCTGTTTTGCTTTGATGAGTTTTTGAGGTTTCTTTCCTGGGAGTAAGTTTTTTGAGTTCCTTATATTGCAGTCCAAACTGCGGTTGACTGCAAAGTAAAGGGGAAGAAATGAGGAAAAGTTGCAGAATAGTGAAGGTTTGGGGCTGAATCTTGTATCAATTGCAGAATAGCGAAGGTTTTTCACAGATTCTATAATTGGACGAGAAGGGCCGAAGGGGAGAAAAAACCAATCTTGTAGGCAGACAAGAATTGGCCCCTCATCCTTGTCGTGTTTACCTTCTTAAATAAGTGGTCTTTTATGAAAAACGCGAAAAGCACTAAAATGAAAAAAAATATATAAAATAATAGCCCGAAAATATAAAATGTCGAATATCTTATATAATCTGTATTGGAGATAACAAAAAAAACAAAAAACTATACAAAAATCTGAAAAAAAAAATTGGGAAGAAACAAAAATGTTTCAAAGGGGAAACACAGCTATGTCAATTATCACAACATATAATATGTATTTACAACCAGCAATTTATTCACATTTCACAAGACCACAAGCTTGTATTTGCTGAGATTGTGCCGCGGTCGATCGGTTCCTGCGCGAGACCAGCCACGCCCGCACCCTAGTTATCCTCGTCCGCAGTTTCTTTGGCTAGGTGGGCGCGTCCTCTTTGGCATCCACAGCTTTAAATTCTCTCTCTGTCTCCTGTGCAGTGAAGCTTGCAACGAAATCCTCCATATGCTGGTAAAGTCGAGGAAAAGAGTTGCTACTCAAAAAAGGTTCGAGGAAGAAAATAAAGAAAAACCAGAGGGAATGAAAGAGAGAATTAATTCTGCGGATTAACCTTGAACAGTGCAAGGACTAATTGCTCGACCAGTGCAAGGGCTAATTGATCGACCAGTGCAGTGCCAACTTGACCCAAAAGGCTGTGAATATGAGACATGAAGCCGCTAGATGAAGTGCTGCTTGTTGGGCAACCTGTGGATGTGACATGTGGATTGGTACGCTCGCCTGCAAGTGCTAAATTAGCTATTGTCTGGAAAATCAAGTTATTGGCATCAAGTTCTTCAATGCATTAATTTTCCAGGACATCATTATCATATGATATTCCAGTTCGGGAAGCTCTATACCTCCAATAACATGGTTGTTTGCTGCAAGTTCTTCATTGCAAGGAATTTTGATTTCAATCTGAAACATAAATAAGGAAAAGAATTAGTAGTTGTTAATGAGAGATCAACAATCAAAAGTGGTGCATCACAATTAGTCCATATTATTTTGAAGAATAGCTTGTTTTCTGTAAGTATGATTATTTAGAAATCACCATCAGCCGTCTGGTCCAGTAGTAGAGATAGTTGTGCAGCTTGTGCTCTTAGCCAAAAGTCATTCAGTGTGGTCCAGTAGTAGAGTTAGTTGCGCAGCTTGTGCTCTTAGCCAAAAGTCATTCAATCTCTAGTCTTTACGTATCAAAAAGAAAAAAAAACAATATTATTTAGAAATCTCTTAGAACGCACCCTTCAAGATGAAGATAGACGCCCGAGATGGTGAGCAAGAACTTTCAGCTTAGAGTTGAGTCTTTCTTTATCCCCTTTCAATTGTTTGTTGTTAGCCCTTATCTCCCTCAACTTAACCCAAATTTGCTTGATTTCAGCCCTCAATACTTCAGCTTCTGAAGGTCCTGTACCCTGAGTAATTAACTTGATTGTTGCAAGTCCTTCTTTGGGACATGTGAGAGGAACTAGGGCATCAATCTGAAACAACATGGAAAGGGAATTAGTGATTGAGACTTAAGAGATCAACAATCAAAGAGTGACGTATCACAACTGTCATAAACCTTCAATGCTACCAAGCTTTACCCCCTTAATAAGGAGAAATTGACAACAGATGGTACCACAATAACTCGGTCATCATTCTAAAAAGCTACTAAACAGCGAAATTTTGCAGTAGCACAAGAAAAAAATCAACTATCAAAGTTGCATCCAAGAAGCACACTAGCGCTACACACCAACACCAAAATAAAAATAAAAATAAAAAGAAAAAGAAAGTTGAGGATAATTTTTTTTCCATCCATAAGCAATGAAAGCGTGCATTATCATACCTTTCCTTTAGGACTGTCCACATGCATTGGACTGTTCTCCTGCCATTTTAGAAATAGAAAACAGAGAAATATGAGATACAGAGCTTCAAGAATTGTTGATAATTTATTTCCACTCATATCAACAGGTACAATAATCATGCAAACATAAGATGTGCCTAGCTTTTCCTCTCTCTCTTTTCTTCCCACAACACGTCTACCTAGTCTAATATAGTTGTTATTTTTAGTTTTCAGTTTTGGTTTTCATAAATTTTGCAACTACTAAAAACCAAAACTAAAAATAAAAAACTAACAATTTGTTTAAGACAGGTTTTAGCATTGAAAACAAAAAATTTAAACTTGTTTAATAGTATTAAAATTAAAACTATTTTAGTTCTTATATTTCTAGTAATCATGATAACATGCTGCAAAAACACATAAAAGTAAACCAGTTTTGTGTTTAGAGTTGCAAAATTTACAAAAGCCAAAAACTACAACCACACTAAATGCAGTCTAAGAAATTATAAAAAGCAGCTGATAGCATTCCATTCATCATTTTGAAGAATCATTTAAAAAATCTAGAGAAAGAATACATTTTGCTACTATCCATAAATAGAAGGAAAAAAGTGATGAAGATAGAGATGTTACCATAAAATTTTTTTGTCCCTCCACCTGCTCTATCAGCTCCTCCATAGCAGTAACATTAGAATTAAGTCCCTCGTTCTCCTTTGCCAAATCTTCATTTGCTTTCTCTAGATCGCCATATTGACGTCTCAGTTCCAATACTTCACGTCTCAGTTTCGAAACTTCCAGCTGAATCTAAATGTACAGAAACATAAATATAAAAATTAGGGAAATAAAAATTATCATAATTAAGATGATGAAAATAGAGATTGTATGCTAATTGTTTACCTTTCGATCATTGTTAACCGCTTTTATCCCTGCTTGTCTCTTCCCGCCTCCTTTGTTTCGTTGGGGATAAGAAGCCTTAACTTTATTCTTCCCTTGAACATCTACCTTCTTTTTTCCACTTCCAAGTTGTTTCGATTTTCCAACTCTTTTGGATCTGGAGCTTTCAGGCTGTTCCGGGTTCTCGCTTATGCAGAGCTTTGGCTGCTCAGGAGAAGATCTTTTCTTTCCAGGCCTCCTCATCTTCTCAAGGACAAAGGGTCAGAAAATAACACGATACGAATTCTAGACAGAGAGCGAGAAAAGGGAAAGCAGCTCTAAATCTTAGGGTAATAAGAAAAGTTCCATTTTCCCCCCTTTTATCTTCTTTCGCCTTGTATTCGCACAATCGGCAAAACTTACCTTAGCCCCTCACCTTATCAAATTTGAAGGTTTTAACCCCTTACCTTATACTATGACACTTTTAACCCCTCATCTTACTAGATTTGTAGGTTTTAACCCCTTACGTATTAAAATTAAAGAAAATAACCCTTATTTTATACTAATTGTTAACTCTATTAACTGAAAATAGATTTTATCAATTAATAGTCAACTAATAGCTAATTAATAAAATTAACGAAATATTATAAACTTAGTTCTATTAATTTTGTTAGATGAAAAAATATTTTTGATAGTTAACAGTTAACTAATAGTCAGTTAATAAAATTAATAGTTAATTAATAACTAATAAAATATTATAAAGTGAGGGCTATTTTTTTCAATTTTAATAGATGAGGAGTTAAAAATATCATAATATAAGGTGAAAGCAAAACTTACAAATTTAGTAAGGTGAGGAGCTAAAAATATTATAATATAAGATGAGGGACTAAAATCTTTAAACTTGATAAGATGAGGGGTTAAAAGTAGGGTTTTGCCCACACAAGCAGGGGTATCACGATGTCAGTAAAATTACCAATTGGCGGCCCAAAATGGTTGGGCTGCAGTCCGACAATTGCACTTGAAGCCCAGTACTGGACTTACCAGATCCTACCAAGCTACCGTATGTTGTTATTTTATTTAATTTTTTACAATATATTTTAATTTATTATTAAAAAAATAAAAATAAAAATATCACTTCATTCAAATATTAAAATATATAATAATAACCATATCATAATTTAATAAAATTAAAATTTACATTATACTCTATACATTTAATAATAATAAAATTAAGTTCCTATTTTCCTTTAACCTCTTTAGTGAAACCCCCCTTCCCCCAGTTCCGTTTGTTTTTAAAAAAAAAAAGTTAAATTTTTAATTTGGTCCTTAAACTATTACACGGACTCTTGATTTGGTATCTAAATTAAAAATATTTTTGATTTGATTTCTATATTATTGTATGAATCCCCGATTTGATCCTACTATTTACTAATTTAACACCAAATTAGTCCTTCTATACAAAAATAATTGATGTGTCTGTTACTTAATGATGAAAAATAATTATTTAACGGTCACATATTAAGTTAATAATGAATCACATCAATTATTTTCTTTACGAAAAAACCAATTTGAAGCAAATTAATAAACAGTGGGACCAAATCAAGGTTTATACAATAGTTTAGGGATTAAATCAGGAATTTTTTTAGTTTAAGGATCAAATCAGGGGACCGTACAATAATTTAGGACCAAATTGGGGATTTAACCCAAAAAAAACCAGTCTAACTATGGCGTTTCGGGATTTGATTAATTTTCAAAGTGCACTGTCCTGAGACTATTCATGCCGATTTACATGGACAGCCGCGTTTTCAGAGAGACGAGAGGAAGCAAGCTTGAAGCAAAGGGGAAAGGAAGGAGAAAAGAAGGAAAGAGGAGGCCGGTTGAGAGGGCAGCAAGGAAGCAGAAATGATGGAGGCACAGAAGAGGAGGTCGATGATCTGGCTGTTGCTCATTTGGTAACTTGAAACCAGTATACTTAAATGGCATTTTTAAGTTCTGGCATTCTTGGGAAATGCTGCTGTTGTTATATACATCTTCCATTGAGTATCAATTCAATAGCAAAACAAAACTTTATGAATACTTCCACTGCTAGCTTCATTCATATACTACAAGTATTGAAAAATTCCTAAAGCTAATTAATTTATTTTTTAAATTTTACGTTTTTTTGGAGGCCGCATTTGAAGAAGTTTATTATTCTTTTCCTTTTTCTTTGTTTTTCTCATTTTTTCTAATACTATTACGACTTCTTATGGAAATGTTTTGGTTAACCTGTTCTTCTATTTTGGGGGGGCAATTTGCACATTTTGCCTTCTTGGTCTAGGAGAATGTCTAATCAGTGCCATAATCAGAATGCGAGATTATAGTATTATAGAATTCAAGTGCCAATGAAGCTTTGTCCTTGGTATCGTACAAGGGCACATTTAAATGCAACGAATTTTCTTCTACTTACATTAAGTATATTTGCTTTTGTTTGCATGGACTCGGAGGTAAATTAGAATTTTGATTATCTAGACTTTGCACTTTTGATGAGGATTTATCACGGCAAAGTGACTAATCTGTTTTGAATGTTTAATGAAATTTATCTTTTGATTGTAATTTAGCTAGTTGGCTTGTCTGATCTAGAATAAATGTTCTATATACTGACTAAAAATATGAATATAGGATCATACGTCAAGTAGAATAGCAGAGAGGCTTGCAAGTTCAACTGCTGCTGCTACAAAAATGATCTCGCCTCCTTAGTTGGCACTAGGCAACTTAGGGATCAGTTCATGTTCATTCCTTGTGTAGAATTTCCCTTTCCAGATGTCTCCTACCATCATTACGTGATTATGTTGAGCCTGATAAATATAAGATCAATATTCTACCAAATGGTATCAAAACTGCTCAGAAACATCAGTGGTACATATTGATATGCCTTTCTTTAAAGAATTATTTTTCTATTTGTGGTTTCTTCTTTTTCAAGGAATTAATTTCTATTTTATTAAGGAGGATCTGTTTGATTTATTCTGCCAACCCAAATCCTGCAGCTTCATTAGGGTTATACGTTGATAATGGTTCAATTATGAGTCGCCAAACTCTTTTGGGACCACTGTTCTGCTTGAGCATAGGGCATTCAAGAGCACAAAAAACAGTAGCTATTTGTGGGTTGTGATAGAATTGGAGGAAATTGGAGGAAATTGGTGGCCATGTGCAAGCCTCAGCTTCTAGGGAGCAAATATGTAACACCTTTGGTGCCCTGAAGAATTGTGTTCCTGAAATGGTAAAACTAGTTATTAACTATATGAGGAAACCTGCCTTATTGGATTGGGAGGTCACTGAATGGGTGAAGCCCTGTGTAACCTTTGTATGCCTGTGCTAATTAGTTGCTGGAAATTTTGTATTAAATGCCTTTGTAAATATCACATTTTATATGTTTATTTGCAGTTTCGGAAGGTGAAAGCAGAAATAGCTGAAGCTTCCTACAATCCTTAAAGATTGCTTTTGGAGGCAATTCACTCTGCTGGCTAAGTGGCTATTTTGTTGCCTTTGCAAATCCCCTTCTAGCTCCAGAATCCGCTATAAGCAGATTGAATAGTACAATTCTGGTGGAATTTATTGCTGTGAGTCAAGAAAGCTTGATATTTCAGTGTGCTCTGTATTCCAATGCCAGTCATATCCCTTTTCTAAAATGTTTTGCCTAGATTTATGTATCTTTATTTGATTTCCCATCAAACTTTTGGGAAAATTGCACTGCTTCTCACTTGGTACTTCCAGCATCTGGAGTTGAGCAAGGGGAACTGATTTATCAGTAGATTACTTCTGTCAGATCTTTCTAAAATCTGTTGCACTGAAGAGCCAAAGTCTGCATACATTTGAGGTGATTATTGTTGTCAAGTTTGTTCAGGAGTATGTGTACTAAATGCTTGTCAGCATTGTTTACTTCTATACTTGTTGTTCATCTATATGTGACAGTTATTTTGTAGGATGTTATTGCATTTGAAGTTTTAAACTTCCTGGTGGTTAGGCAAAAGAAGAACGAAGCTATGGCTTTGAATGTCCGCCAGGTGCAGTCTTGCTTTTCTTTTCTAAAGTTTGTGCACAATTTTGTTTTGATTTTTTGATTTTTGGCATCCAGATGTCATCTTTTTAAATCTTCAGTTTGCATAGTTGTACTTGTGGCATATTAATTTTTTTGACGCAAAATATTGTATCCAAGTGTTCCTTTATGGCAATTGTAGTTAATGAATATTTGCATAAACTTTCTTGAAAACAATTGGTAAAAGCTAAACATCTTTTCTGGGTTTATATTTTATTGATTCATGTCAGTGATGCTTGATGGTATCCAATAAATTCGTGGTCTATGTTTCATGTTTCTGTTGAAAATGTCATAGTCATGGAAAGCATATTAATGATGTTTATCTTTACAGGCTCAGAGCTCAGGTTTTGTACCAAAGACTTTTGATGTAGCAGCCAAGGAGCTTATTGCAGTTGCAACACTAGGAGAAGGTTAGTTGCTTCTTAAAAAGGTCATTTTTTGCTTCCTACAGTTGCAGGAGAAGGTTATCTATGTTTCATGTTGCAGTTGTCACTAGTCATTCTCATGCAGCTTTTCTCTTAGCTTTTTACTTAATAATGCCCTTCATTCTTTGCTCCCTGCAGTTGACCGAAACAACTAGGTTATGCTAAACTGCTGACAAAAACTGCAATCTTAATGAACTTGGAATCCAGAGTATGAAAACAAATTTTCTTTCCTTTTTTAGTTATTGCTTCATACTAAATTAAGCTGGCCAGGGATTCATACTCTGCCATCCGATGTTGCTCCTCTTATTTGTTTACTTACAAGATGCATTCTGCAGATTGTTGCCTCAGAGGATATTGGTAGACAAGTTTTGACATATGGGAAAAGGTATGCCTTCTGACATGACTGTTTCTGAGTTGGTTGGCTTTGATTCTTTATTGATGATTGGATATGGATTGCTATGTTGGTGGCTCTTTACTGACCTCAATAACTTGCTTGCTAATATGTGTATGAATAAGTAGAATGATATTTCTTTCATCCTTAGGAAGCCTGTGGAACATTTCTTAAATGCCGTTCAACAAGTCACACTGACCTTCTATAGCCCAAAAGCTTCTATTATCCCCCCTCACAATGGCATCATATGGAAATGGTATTTCCATGTCCAGAATATATATATACTGTTTTTGTTGGCAAAAAACAACATACTGTCATTATACTCAATTGGAAAGCTATGGTGATCTCCTTTCTCACTTTGCTAATATTTTGCAGTTATTAATGTCTCAAGTTACAATTCAGTTAGCAGCAAGTTGTAAATGATCATATGGAAATGGTATTTCAAAGTCTAGAATTTATATACTGCTTTTGTTGCGACAAAACACATACTTTTTACTCAATTGGAAAGCTATGGTGATCTTTCTTCATTTTGCTACTATTTTTCAGTTATTAATGCAAGTTCAAGTAAACGAGATTGCTTTCTTGTCTCAAACTGGGCAGTTATCTAAACTGTTTTTTGCACTGTTGTGCGTCTTGAATCCCTTGGAATGCAGTTGTTGTAAATAAGGAGTCTAGACATTGGCCAATTTAAAAATAAATAGTTTATCCCAAGCAAGCAGCATGAGTTGAATTGGCTTGGTGTTGGTATGCACTTCCAAGTTTTTCTAGTGCATTCCAGGACTTTGCTGTTTTTCTTGGTTGGGAAAAATTCCATGCTCTTTTCTACTTCATGATCCTCTTAATTTGGTGAAGTGAAACAACAGCAAAATTTGAGTTGTACCCATAAATTTGTATATTGCATTTTTCTTATTTTTTGGTCTTCAATCTCTCTACTCCATTATCTTTCCTATTTCTCTAACAAATCAAAGTTGGTAGGCAACTTCCATTCCCCTACTTCTCGTGGTTAGCTCTCCTTGGCTTTGCTTTACAACTGGTTCTCGTCAGTATGTCTATATATTCTTCTCTGAGTTATGTTTATTTGCACGTTATTTTCTAATATATCATATGATAGATTGTATAAAAAGGGCATAATCTTCCTGTTCCCATAATCTCTCTTTACCTATTTCAGGGTTTAAACTTAAGATCTTCAACTTAAAGTTTTAATTTTTAACCACTTGAAATACCCTTTAAAATTATGATTATTTGCACATGAATTCAACACATATAGTTTGCAGGCAACACTTGTGTCTTCACTCGGAATCTTATTTACACTAATTGACGGGTCCCAACTTTAAATTCATGGATCATCAATATTTTAATGCTTGGATGATGAGTTTTCACCTGCTTTAATCTTTTGTCTAACTAGAAATAATTTTCGCTTTTCCAAGGTTTGAATTTAAAATTTCTATGAAAATCTTGATGAACTTGAAATCCAGAGTATGGAAACAAATTTTCTTTCATTTGTTAATTATTGATTCATACTAAATTAATCTGGATGGGGATTCATACTCTGTAGTAAGTTATTGCTCTCTTATATATTTACTTAATACTTATTACATGCATGCTGCAGATGGTTACCTCAGAGGATATTGGTAGACAAGTTTTGACATATGGCGAAAGGTATGACTTGAGACAATCCTGTTTCTGAGTTGGTTGACTTTGATTCTTCATTGATAATTGGATATGGATTGCTACGTTGGTGGCTTATCACTGACCTCAATAAATTGCTTGGTGTGTGTATAAATAAGTAGACTGATGTCTTCTTTCATCCTTAGGAAACCTGTGGAACATTTCTTGAAGGCCTTTGAAGAAGTCACACTGAAAGATATTTCTACAGTAGCCCAAAAGCTTCTATCATCCCCTCTCCCAATGGCATCATATGGAAAAGGTATTTCCAAGTATAGAATATATATACTGTTTTTGTTGGTAATAAAACAACATATTGTCTTTCTACTCAATTGGAAAGCTATGGTGATCTCCTTTCTCGTTTTGCTAATTATTTGCAGTTATTAATGTCCCAAGCCACGATTCAGTTAGCAGCAAGTTCAAATTGAAGTAAACGAGATTGCTTTCCTGTATCAAAGTGGGCAGTTGTCTGAACTGTTGTTTGTAATTTTGTGCATCTGCAATCCTTGGAGCAATTTCACAGCAAGATGAAGTTGTTGAAAATGAATCTAGACGTTGGCTTATTTAACAATAAATAGTTTATCCCAAGCAAGCAGCATGAGTTGAACTGGTTTGTTATAGGGATGCACTCGTGGACTATTTTATATTCTTTGAACTCCAATTTTACCAATTCCGGTTAATAATGGTGTTCCCCTAATTTGGTGAAAGAAACAAAAGTAAAATTAGATAAACCGAACTTCATCAGTAGTGTCATACCCAAAGTCCCTACTGCAGCATCTCTTTTACTTCTTGAACATATCAAAGTTGGTCGGCAGCTACCCTTCTGCAGGGCATAGAAGTGCTTTTTAATTACTAGTTTCAGAGCTGTTTTGCGTTGCCGTTGATGGGTCCTTGAGTATTTTTTTTCTTCTTTTTAAGTTTTTTGAGTTTTTGATGTTACAGTTACAGTTAGAATTGTTATGAACTGCAAAATAAAGATCATAAATAAAGATCATTAGACAGGAAAAATCTTTTAATATCAAGAGGTTTACATTTATTCTAATTATTAGTGTTATACTGTGCATTACAGTTAAGACAGCACAAAAACTTTTTATTTAATTTTAATTTTAAAGTGATATTATTATGTAATTATTAGAAGTTGGAGTCAGAATCTGAGAGTTCTATTTGGAGTTTAAGTTTTAATTAAGGTTATCACATGGCCAGTGGAGGTTTGACTGTTTTGAGTTAGAATTGAATTACGATCCAATTCTTAGATTTTTGACACAGATGATAAGGGCAGAAAGGGATAAAAATCCTCTCTTGTATGGAGACCCTCATCCCACGTGTTTACCTTAAAAAATTAAAGTTTAAGTATTATTTTGCTCCCTCAGCTTTTTACTTTGATACCAAAATTGTCTCTCACTTTTAAAAAGTATCAAAATTATCTTTAAACTTTCATTTTTGATACCAAAATGATCCTTCCGTTAGTCAAAATCAATTTTTTTTTGCTTGACTGATGACATGGAAAAAAAATACATAGTTGGCCATCTTTTTTTATGAGGTGGCATTTTTAGTTAATTTAAAAATTTTGATATCCTTTTTTTCCATCCATGTCATTTCTTCTTCCTCTTTCACTTTCTCTCTCTTTTACCTTTCCTTTTCCCTTGCCTCTGCAAACCCAGATCTAGGTTCTCTCACAAACTTCGTCTTCTTCCTCCTTTCCTTTCCTTGCTAATCCTTCTTCCTTCTTCTTCTTATTCTTTCTCTCTCTCTCTTCTCTTTTCTTCTTCCTCTTTCAAACCCAAATCTGGGTTTCATCACATAACATGGAAACTAATCTCGAATATACTAAACAGCAAAGTCGAGATCTCCTAAGCCAACTAATAGAAAGGAACATAGATTAAAAAGAGTAAAGAATTTCTAGAAAAAAAAGCGATTCGAGCCAAATCACATACAAGCCAACTGCAGATCTAATCTCGAAAATAATCAACACGAAAACCACTTAATCAACTCAGAAAATACAGATAGAAAACACAAAATAAGCAAAAGAACAAAACCAGATCTATACCCTCCTTCTCTTCCCCTTCACCTTGATCACTTTCCTCTCCCTCGCTTTCACCTACTTCTTCCTCTTCACTCTCTACTGTTGCTACAGCTGCAGCAAGGGCCGAATAATTTCTTCTAAAATACCCATCGTCCACCGACGCCGAACCCAGGCGCCCCCAGGCGTCGACGAGGGTGGACGTGGCCTCTTCGGACCAGCAATCTTCACGGACAGGCAAGGGACGGGAATTAGGGGTGGCGGAGGAGGTAACCAAGTTTGTTGAGTTGGATGAGGCAACTGAGTTTGTTGACGAGGGTAAGATCCAACTCCAGGTTGTGGCTAGTGCTAGTGCTGATCCAAGAGTGGTGGCACGGCTAATGGGGTTGGAGTCATTGCCGAAGAAGAACCGGGTTCTGATAGGGAAGAGTCCAGGTTCGGTTACACAGAGTAGGTCGATGAATTTTATGGATTGTTTATTGGAGTTTGATTTGACGGAAAGCAAGCATCACGGGGTGAGGACATTAGTGTCGTTTCGGAAAGCAAGCCGAAGAAGGGAGCAACTTTTCTAAAACCCAGATCTGGGTTTGAGAGAGGAAGAATAAGGGAGAAGAGAGAGAGAGAGAAGAATAAGAAGAAGAAGGAAAAAGGATGAGCAAGGAAAGGATAGGAGGAAGAAAATGAAGTTTGCAAGAGAACCTAGATCTGGGTTTGCAAAGGTAAGGGAAGAGGAAAGGTAAAGGAGAGAGAAAGTGAAAGAGGAAGAAGAAATGACGTTAATGGAAAAAAAAAAAAATCAAAAATT